TCGATAGCCATCAGGAACCATTTGCCCACCCAGCCCCAGAGATCATACCTAATACTTTTGAAGAAGCAGTAAATATAATAAAGCCTTCAGCTATAATTGGTGAGTAAAGCTGTTGATAAATAATTTTATTTGTTTAAAAGTATGTCTTGGGTTATAACTACAATGTAAACAAAACATAACACAAACGCATGGGTTACAAAAGCTAACGGCCTTTCAGGTAGCACATAATTACTTAACCACTGTGCCACCAGGGCATCTTTTTTGCCACGTAGAATTAACTGCAAATTAATTGACAGATTTCAGCGGAAATGAGAGCGTTTCCGTGACAGCTTTTTTATGACTGGTGAGAGGTCAGTGAATGGGTGTGTCCTGTACTTTTGAGGCCTAGAGACCATGCTGTTCATCGTGCTTTGCTGTGAGGGTCGATAGACTATTGTGCTCAAAGCCTGCAAGGGCCACGTTGGACGGACTCCGTCAGGCAGGTCATGGGCAGAGGCAGACAGTGGCTTTCAAAGGCGGAATCTGGTGGGTTTGGGTAGTCAGGCACTGCAGACAGTCTGTTCCTAGCCTGGGCGACACGCCACGAAGGGCCCTGCAGAGTTTAGCATTTCAGACACACAAGTCCTTTGCTAGAGCGATCGTGATAGTCTTACACTCTTTTGCCCCTGCTACTTTTCTATAGCTTAGTATGTGTGTGGTGAGCCATTTGTTTCTTTGACGTGCAGTTGGGTTTCCATTACATTAACACCACCACCACCCAGCCCCCAACAAAAACAAACATAACTGCCATGGCGTCTCTTCCGACTCAAAGCAACCCTTGTACAAGTTTTCCTGAAGCCTCCTCTTTCGCCCTTAAAGCAGTGGGTGGGTTTGATCCTCTAACTTTGTGGTTCATAGCCCAGTGCTTATCCCACAGTTCCACCTGGGCTCCTTAGCATTGTCTTACCAGCATGAAGTCTTACTTTGTACGACAGCATAATTTACCTGTGATGTTGTCATGGTGAGTGGAGCACTGGTGCAGTGGTTACATGTTGGACTGCGATCCAAATGGTCTGCAGTTGAAAACCACCAGCAGCTCCAAGGGAGACAGACTAGCTTTCTATTCCCATAAACAGCTATAGCAGCAGTTCTCAACCTGTGGGTCGCGACCCCGTTGGGGGTCAAGCAACCTTTTCACAGGGGTCGCCAAAGACTATTGGAAAACACATATTTCCGATGGTCTTAGGAACCAAGACATCGCTCCTCTATCCGTCTCCAGG